CATGGATTAGTCCCTCCCTTTCATCGTGGTGCTGGCGCCATCTAACCCCCCCCCCCCACATACACATACAGAACACTGTATATCACCAGTGCCTTCCCCAATGGTTTCTCTTCACGGCAGCCGCGATATCTTCGTTCTCGCTGTATTTGACTCCCTGCTGAATTTAATCCGACATGATACGTGCCCTTCAAAAGAAGTACATGCATTTTTACTGTTGATTCGAGCGCGGTGATTTGACGTTAGCACTGTTGTTCCATGTTGGTAATCAACTGTTACTGCAGCTGCTTGCCTTTTCTCTTCTGCCAAACCAGAGTTACCACTGTTATCATGGAAGCAAGAGCGCTTTGCTGGTCTGAGTGCCTTTGTCCCACTTGCATTATACTTCCTGCTGATAGCAGCACTTCAGAGTAGAATTTGTCATTCGGAGAGGATTGAAGATTCATCAGTTGGACTAGATTTAATCTTTATTTTGTGCTACTTTCCTAGAACAAGTTGAGTTCCTCCTCGAATTAGCAGTCGAGTTTTTGATCCGGATATCTCCTTTCCTTTTAGGTTCTCAATATAAGTGTATTATTTAGCTGCACTAAGCACTCTATTCACATACTATATTTTCATTATTACTATTAGTACTAGGCACCAGTTAGCCACATTAGACACCCTTAGCAAAAAAACGTTATGCTGTAACGGTATTATCGTAAGGGGGAAAATACCGTGATTTGGGTTCGACCTTTAGCAAGATGAAAGATGAAAACATGGATGCAGTGAATGGGATTTTCGGTCTTTGACCACTTGCTGGTGAGCTGATCTACTCACCTCCCACCGCTTTAGGAGCTGCATCTGCGCCTTGATCCTTGAAGGGTGGTGGCGTTCCTACGGATGCGGAAAACCCGGCTTCCAGCCGAGTCTCACGCGAACCGTGAATTTTTAAAAAAAAATAATTTAGCAAGATGCACGCTATTTTTTTTGAAATTTCTCATGTAAACACAGCCTAAGGCTGTGTTTACATGAGAAATTTCAACCCGGGTCGAGTTCAGCCCGGGTTGAAAGTCTGTACGATAGACAAAAGAGGTGAGCGTTTACATGAAGACAGTTGACCCGGGTCAAATACTGATATGCCGCCAAAAGTCCACTTCTACGGTCCTGCATGGTCACGTGAAACCGTTCGCGCAAAATTTGCATCTGCAGTGCTGTTCAAACCTGGCGCGAGATACGCACAGAAGTACGTTTGTACGATTTTCTTGACCCGGGTTGGTTTCAACCCTCCCCTTGGGGGGAGGGTTGAAATCAACCCGGGGCGAAATTTCAACCCGGGTCAAGCGCAATGCGTCATGTAAACGCGCCATTCACTTTGTGCACATGGCGGGTTGAAATCTGACCCGGGTCGAACTCAACCCGGGTTGAAACGCCTCATGTAAACACAGCCCTGGTACGCCGTTGCCACGAGAATAGCTTTGATTTCGCGCGGTACGACCATTTTTGTCACCATATACGCGATACAAGGTGAAATGCGTACGGACTATGCAATATTTGGCCAAAACGCGTACCGTTTTTTTTTTTTTTTTTTTTTCACACGGAAAACTGAGCCTCTTGTACGGGCAAAATCATTTTGTGAAGAATCAACACATAAACGAATCATCATATACAGTATTTACAGAGTCTGTCACTCAGTAGGATCACTGCACTGTGCAGGTTCACTGGATGCGTGCCTCCGCCGCCACTAGCACAGCAGGGGACTCAGGCATGGCAGGAGCAAACATGCTCCTTGAGCCACGCAGGCACATAGCACCACAACGCACCAGGGCAAACCCAAGGCGGCAGCGCAGCAAGGAGATAACCTGCCCGTATGGCTCCTTACTCTTCTCAGCCAGGAGAGAGGCGATCCGCGTGAAAAGAGCATTGGCATGCTTGCCATAGCCACCAGAGGCAGAGAGCACAACGGGCACGAAGGAGGCATGCTCAACTTCACGTACTCGCTCCTCGTACTTCCGGCGCTTTTCCTGTTCATGGCGTCTGTAGCTAGCAGCGAGGGAGGTGGCACGATTCGAAGACGCAAAAGGGTTGAACACCCGTACATCAATAAAGATGCGCTCGAATCGGCCACCCCACACACCACTAGCCGCAACGTCCAGCCGAGCTTGCTCCTCCGTGACAGCTGTGCGATGGCGGAAGGCCTCTCCGGTGACGGGCTGGAGGTGGGGTTCCACTGTCACGTTGTGAGCGACCTGCCTCAGAGCTCTGGCGGTGATGTCCCTCACCTCGTTGTGTCGCAGCGTCGGGAAGCCACCAAACGGGCACGACAGGGCGTGACTCACATTCAGCGGCTTACTGCACACGCAGAGGCTTGGGAGCCGAGGAGGTGTCCAGCCGTACCGGAGGCACAGGCCATCCCGGAAATCTCCCTTGCTGAGTGTGAAACCATGGCGGCTGAGGGGGCGGCAGGTCAGCCAGCTGGATGCACCCTTTTCTGAACCTCTGAAACGCGTACCGTTGGTCACAACGATAAATCAGCCCCCATAACGTTTATACGCTGCAGCTTCAACGCTATTTGGGTGATCAAGGTACGAGTACCGTAAAAAAAATAGCGTTCAGACTGGCGTGAATCTGTCCCCGGGGAAAATTGCGATTCCGCGGCCGCGTTTTTTTCCGCGTTTTTTGCGATTTTTTAAAAGACCGCGTTTTCCGCGATTTTCCCGCGTTTTTTGAACTTTTTTGTTGCACTACACGTGCACACAGTGCACTGTTCGGTCAGCAACGTCTCATCGTGGCGGCTTTTTACTCAAATATGACGAGTGCTTACACCAGAGACTTGTAACTGATTCATTTCACTACATACTCACTGAAAATTGCCGCACATCAATATTATTCACCGCATATTTACCGCATATTTACCGCAAATTCACCGCAAATTATGCCATATTATGCCGCGTTTTTCCCCGCGTTTTTTTGCGATTTTTTCCGCAATTTTCCCCGGGGACAGGTGAATAGCCGCCGGAAAGCTGCAGCGTAATCCCGGGAATCGCAATCACACTGCACGTGTATCCCGCTGGAATGGCCAGTACATGTGAAGCTTCGACATTTGAAAAATTTGAGTTGACTAAGTTTGAGTTGGATATCAAAATAAACTAATTCAGTCTGTTGAGATGCTGGATCATAGTGCATTTGCTTGTGCTTGTCGACGGAAAGAATACTATGTCCGGAGTGTTTGGTGCTTGGGTGGCATTCATCCGCTCCGCGATCAGAGTATGCTTCTCGTTCGCAGTAACGTTTTGCCTGCAGAGCGGCCAGCAAAAATCACCACGTACAGCTCCATGAACTCCCTCTCCATTGCTGAGTCGAACAAAGATTTCGGCATGATGGGAGAAGTAATTCGTTGGCAGTCTAGAAGTCAAAACTCAAAACTCAAAAGCATGCCGTCAGACTGCAAGAGTAGAGGCTGAAATAAAACGAAAAGACGGAACATGTGCTGCAAGGATATCAAAAGCGCTCCGCGTGCCGCCGGAATCTGCATTCCACTGGCCTGCAGAGTGGTGGGAAACCTTTTCCGTGTTTACGCTGGCGGGAACGTCACGTGGGCGATTCACCTAGACAACTTTCACATTCCGCTTGTTTTTTACGCCAGTCTGAACGCGCCCTAGGGTGTCTATTATGAGGAGCTGCTGACGCTATTGTGTTAATAACGATAGAATCATTTTTGCGTGATTAAGTATGGCCTGTGGACCGGAGGTTATCATCAACTGCTGAAGTGGGTTGTGACTGAGCTTGTGTGTGGAGAGAGAGAGAGAGAGAGAGAGAGAGAGAGAGAGAGAGAGAGAGAGAGAGAGAGAGAGAGAGAGGAGAGAGAGAGAGATGAATAGCTCTCAGTACGAGTGCTGGTATCTTAGCTGGGAACAGTGACAACATGCAGTGTTTCACATGATTCAGGGCGCTGTACGACTCGTACTCGTACTTCTCCGCCGCCAGTTGACAGACTATCGAGAACTGTATGCATGTGTTGTTGAGTCTTCTAACCATCATTCATGACAAGCCGACTGAAAATCTCTCAGAGGAAGTGTCTTTAGAAGGAGGTTCAGTGGGTGACTTGTATGGTTTCGAAACTAATGCATCTCCGCAACAACTAACTACTTCCTGCAGCATTTCTTGCCCAGCTTCCAGGATCGTAAGGCTAGCCATGACGTCCGCGCATGCTTCTAGCCAGGGAGTATCTCCTGGTTCCTTGTCGTGTTTTGAAAAGTTACAAAAATTAATGGTTTGCTACCACCACAGGCATGGTTTGCTACTGGTCCACCTCGGCGTGCAGCTTAACGTTAGCTGTTGCCACCCTGTCAATATTGTGTCAGCTCAAATGACCTGTGGATTATAGCGTGCACTCGTATGTGCCATTGTGGGGATGATACGTTTGGTGCCATGCTCAGCTAGCTTCACACTTTGGGGCACGTGCAAGCTGTATGTATGTACGCATCACGTGCAATTAAGCTGTATTGTATGTAAGCATACCGTGATGTCGCGTACTCAAGCCGGAGTTAATTCAGTAGGAGCCGATATCAGGACTAGGCGTCTATTCACATCAGGCTTCTATTCAAACCAGGTATTTCTATGTGTGTCAACACTAAAACTAGGCTTATGCGCCGGCAATGTATCTTGAAAAGCAGGCTTGTATTCAAAACAGGATTCTATTAGGAGATTGGCTTTCTTACAAGGCACTACAGTACATCACGTGCATTGCTGGCACCCTCACCACCGCGCTGATTATGAATACCATCCCCGCATGTGTCAGCTGCACCATTACACTCGACACAAGCGGAACAAAACGAAACTAGCTCCCGCATGGCTGGCCACTTCTGAAACATTCCTCGCAAAGATGGATGTACAAGCCCGATGTACGAGCCCGCGGGTTTGGCCCAGATCCCGATTACTCAGGGGTCATCCGTAAATATACTGTAGTAGATAAATAATACTCCAGTACAAACCTAAGACTTCGGCGGTATTAGTCAGTCATGAAGTTGGTTGCTCCAACGAGGAGCACACGCTTCTTGCCGAACTTGACACTTGACTGACTCACGACTGCTTTAATAGTAATAATACTCCAGTAGATATTTATTTAGAAATGCAAGCTAGTCGTCGAGGGGGGTTGAGCGCCTGTTCGTTTCTCGAAAATATCGATGCACAGTTTGTGTGTGTGTAGGAACGTCCAGAAGAAAAAATAATATCGATACCATGCACCGTTTGTATGTGTTCGTTTCTGAGGGAGGGGGGTTGAAGAGAAATGACTAGTTTTCGTTTCTAAATAAATATCGGTATTTACGGATGGCCCCTTATGACTGGGCAGTCATGCATGAATGCCAAGAAGCCGGATAACACCAAGTAAAATGTTCAGTTCTGTGATAATGCACAGAGAGTTTTTTTTAAATTGAATGTGATACTGTGAAATCGTACTTCAAGAAGAAATATACGATGTAATCAAACCACACACTGGTAGCAATGCATATCTATTTCGACAGTACTTTACACAAATGTTCGTGGCAGAGTGCGGGTGGTAAGATTGAATCCAGGATCAGGATGCCGGCAATCGTTGCAACCGGCCATGGCAGGATGGCACCCTGCTGCATTTCTCCACGCATAGCTCAAAGTCACTGTCTCAGTCAAGTGCTATTCCAAATCAAACCCAGCCTGTTGGGACTGGTCGTGCATGATTTCAATGCGAAAGATCTGCATCATTGCCCTGAAGTATCCTTTGGGCAAGGAAAAGGGCCATCCAAAACACAACACTTGTTGTACACACCGCTAAAAGGTCCCCCTCCGAATAGGAGCCAAGAGGTCAAGGACTTATCATGTAAGTAATAATATAATTTGGGGTGAATATTCAAGACAGGCCCGGGGCAATTTACCCCCTCAAGATCTGCATAGTCCAACGTGGGCAAACCATTCATGGTGCATTGTCGCACCTAAGAACTGTAAAAACACGACAACCAAAACTGCCGCTTTCCTTCAAAGAAACGTTTGATATCCCCACCACATCTGCGCATGACCGAGTAGCAGTGCGAATTCTATTATAGAGCTAGAGCTGACGACATCATACCTACAGCTGATGATATCATACCTACAGCCGATGACATCATACCTGCAGCCGATGACATCATACCTGCAGCCGAAGACATCATACCTACAGCCGATGACATCATACCTGCAGCCGATGACATCATACCCACAGCTGACCACATCACACCTGCAGCTGATGACATCACACCTACAGTTGACGACATCTTGCTTCACGTGTCGCCCGCGCTTTTAGCGCTGCGCACACTCCAGCCGGCGGACCCGCTGGCCGCTGATGCGGTGGTTGTGGCGGCTGCCGCGGTCGCCGTAGCGACCGGTTGCTTTTTCCGATCGGCATGGGCAGCTCGGCCTCCGGCGCCGAGGGTGGCCTGCGCCCTGGGACTCTGACCCATGCCCAGAGCAATGGAAGACGTCGAGCCAATATCAGCGCCGGCAGTCTTGGTTGTGATGTCCGTCAAATCCTTGATGAACACGTCGATCTGCACCACCACCATCACCACCACCACCACCACCACCAGCATCAGCACCACCACCAGCAGCAGCAGCAGCAGCCGCCGCAGCAGCAGCAGCAGCAGCAGCAGCAGCAGCAGCAGCAGCAACAGCAGCAGCAGCAGCAGCAGCAAAATGTCCTCGATTAGACACTACTTTGTACAAACAGCTTTGCCGGACTCTGGTCTGCAATTGGGCATGAACGCCTGAGGCACCTGTTCTGGTTCACATCTGCTGACATTGCAGCTTCGCAGCTTTTCCATGTGTTTTATTTCAGGGTACCGAGAATCGACGTGTGCTTTCTAGAGTTCTTTTTCTCCGTCCTGTTTCTTTTCCTTCTCTTGCTCCGATTTTGAACGACTTGAACAAAAGTTAGGGAGCCTGACTTATTCCTTCTCATGACGCCGGCGCGGATAGGCAGGAATAAAATTTAATAACAAGAGTACATAACCCCCCAGAGTGTGCAAGTTCACTTATCAGATCTGGGACGGCGAAATCCGTGTTCCACGTCATAATAATGACATCATCAGTAGGGGAAGTGCGGACGTGGCACACCGCGTCGATGGAATGAGGCAAGTCCGACCCAAAAAATGACGTACATCACGGATTACGTCGTCCCACAACCCCATCCCAGTTGCGCACTCTGGGGGATTATGGACTCTTGGTAGTAATAATAATAATACACAGGTTTCCACTTCCCTTCAGAGCAGCGTTGACTTAGGACACTGTCCATTGTTCAATCAACAGACATATCAATAATATTATTATCAAGGCATAGCACCTTATATAATACGGATAAATATATGAAGGACTTGCGGCAAATGTTACGAGTTACGACCAACTGTCCACCAACTGTCGAACTTGCTGACTGCGTATGATCTCGCTACTTTGGTAGACAGTTGGTCAGAACTCGTAACCTTCGCTCCTTCCCTTATTTAGCCATGATTACATTGGATGAACACATTGGCTCAACACCTGAGCTCACAGAGTACTGTTGTCCCCCAAGGAGCAGCAGAAAATAAAACGGCACCCCAGTCCAAGAGATTGGCAACAATTCCAGCACACCAAGCCTCTCACCCTCTCTAGCATCTTGCCAAACGTGACACCATCCTTGTAGCGATGTGACCCCATATGACTGTTGATCATCGTATACAGGTTAGATGTGGCCCTGCAGTGCAGTGTTGTCAGCAAGTACAGTGTTGCCAGCAAGTACAGTACAGTGTTGTCAGCAAGTACACGTGCACACAAAACATGACTTTTCAAACACAGTGTTATGCCACAAGTAGTAAAATAAGTACTCATACCCACAAAAAGCAAGAGTCCATTGCTGTAGGGATGTGTGTGTGTGTGTTCCTCTGAAGCAGCTTGGTGACATCGTCCAAGATCGACAGGGGTGGTGGGTCACCTGCCGTGACGCTGTCGACGCTATTGTCCAGTCCCGCATGGAGCCCGTGGCGAAGCCCCTCATCTGTGGCACTTGTGCGCACAGTTTTCGTCGGCCACAGGATATTGCGAGGCACAAATGTAACCCTGTTCACGGAGCCCGCGCGTGCGCTGAGTCTGGCGTTCCCCGCCCGGTGGACAACACGTCTCCTGGTCTGCCCCTCATGGGCCCACATAGCCAGTCATGGCAGTGGAAGAAGGAAAAGATATGTGCATGTGCCTCTGGGTGTGTGTGTGCGGCGACCAGTGCTAGCTCTTTCTGTCGTTCTTTTTCTTGTTTTCGTTCTGAAAGTTATTACCATGAATGTCCTCTGTTGAGTATTGCCGGAGTATTGTGTGAACCATAATACTAGGGCTCAAACGGTCACGGTTTTACCCCTAACGGTTAACTGCTAAGCTAACGGTCGGTTTAACGGTTATAACCTATAAGCCACGGCAATCCTGCGGACTCTTTTTTAACCGTATATTTGACTATACTCATTCAAAAAATGTACCCTATTCAGTACACCGCACACATGCACATTCTCTTGCATGCTCATTCATACATACTCTCACACCAAGAGACCAGATATGACCGAGTTGACAGCCCAGAAATTGCGTACGCGTGCGACAGCCTGCGAAAGTGCATGCTTTGCAACGACCTGATACTTGCAAAAATTGACTGAAACCTTACTGCGTAACCGTTATCTTTATCGGTTAACCGTTATTTCTTCGTAACCAATCTGCAACCGGTTAATCGGACTAACCGTTTGAGCCCTACATAATACCCTGAAGTATCCGCTTTCAATAAGGTGGTGCAATATTCGGTTTGCAGCATTCCCCAATACCCATTCGCTTACAGCTTCAACTGGCCGAGGGTGAGAGTCTGCTTGGCTGCCGTGTTGCGTATGTGCTGCCACTCGCTGTCACTGTAAACACACAAGTAAACACACAAAACATACAAAAGCATGCACACACACACACACACACACACACACACACACACACACACACACACACACACACACACACACACACATGCACACACACACACACACACACAAACACGCACACACACACACACATGCACACACATACGTCCACACACAAGCATGCATGCACAAACAGACACACATAATCACAAACCTACTCAGAGACATCAAAAGCGTCCACACATGCAGTGTGTCATCGTGCGGACAATCAAGTTTTATAGGCGAGTCACATGACAGGAGAATCGGTGGAATCACGCACACGCGGGCGCACACACA